GTTGAGGCTTCTTCTAGACTCGATGAATTTCTTAATTATGATAATTTTTTCATACTTCCCCAGAATGTTCCATAATAATTATATGATACTGAAAATTTTAGTTAGCAAAAAAAGGGATAACAGAAATTTTTTAGTGATAGCACAGAAATAATATTTTAACGATACACCTGAACATGCTTTCTACGAAAATAATATTTTTTTAGCTATAATAGACAGTAAACAACCTTAGTGGATGGGACGACTGTCAATTGATAGGTTTGGCAGAGAAAACCTCATTAGCAGACCTAGCATAGAGATGAGTGCCATCAGTAAACATATGAAGAATATGGGAAGAACAGCCAAAAGATTTATCACTCACACAGTCCGCTAGCAAAGTTAGAAGACTCGTGAAGTCATACAAGCAGACTTCAGACAATAGGTTTAAGGCTCCAGATGTTTAACAGACGATTGTCGAAGGGATATTAGCAAATTACGCTGGTCAACACGATTTTTAGTGCCAAGAAACAAAACAATTTTTTTTAGATAATTTGATGGCGCTGTTTTCGAACATGACCTTTAGTTATTCATGGGCAGCTACCGTTTTTGTTTTACTGAAATTGCTCATTTTTTGGGGAAAAAAGATCAATTTACGATCGCAAAAATTTTGCTAATAAAGGTCGCAGAAACCCATCAATTTTCTGGTATGCTGGGCAATTTATGTCGGCCACCTGAAATAAAGTGATTTTGAATCAAAAAATTTGAAATAGATGTTTTCCAATTTATTGACAAGTTTTGAATAAACTTTATCAGTAATGCACTTTAATAAACCCGATAGTTAATGTGACATCAAAAAAAAAAAGAAAAAAAAAGAAAAAAAAGAAATCCTAAAATCATTTGTTTGATGCTCATAAATTTATCCCATCACTTATATCCCTTCACTACGGAAGGAAAACAAGGTCATTGAGAGCATTTTGTTTTCACAGTTGGAAAGAAACTCCAACTAAAGACATCCCAATTGAATGCACATATTCCATTGTACATGATACTGCTGGAGTATCAAAAGGGACTTAAATAACATTGAACATGACAGACAATCAAGAAAGAGAAATTCTTTTACAATAGCTCTTTGTTCACAAATGTTTTATTTTTGCTGTTAGTTTATTAAATGATTTGATGAAAATACTTGTTGGTTTTAGTATATTCAATCGTGTTATTTTAAATGACTTCAGGTCTCATTCTTGCAAGAATAGTATTTCTCAATAAGCAGATCAATAGTTGTTGGTTTAACACGAATTCAGATTTTTCTACGTTTTTATTTTGAGAAATATTGCCATCGGTCAATATCATATACACAGAAAACAAATAAAATATGTTTTTTATTCCCAAAATGAGCCATCTCTGTACAGCAAAATAGGTAGAAAACCAAGGAAAAGTAAGGTTATTTTTAGATTAAGCGCACTCAAACTAGCTAAAAAAAATGTTTGGAATTTTGACATCATTTCAAAATTTTTTTGGCGACCAGTGTTAAAAGCTTGGTTAAAAGCCATTTTTTGTCAGTGGCCAGTTCAATTACTCAGTCAGAGCTAGTGGTCAACGTCAGATACACTCAGTGGAAGAAACAGACAAACGACCTAAATGGTAATAAGACTGGATAATATGAACTGATATGAAATACAGACTAAGCATGGAAATCAAACTGGGAATGACCTTCCGTGGAGCCAATAAAAGCACGATTCTAAATTCGAAGGAGATTACGGAATGCGAAGACAGAAATCTAAAGAACGATGAAATATGAGAAACGTGTTTATTTGAATGTCAAGGCCTATAAAAATAATAATAATTATTAAATTTTCTGTTATTTCTGTTACTTTCTCAGTATCTCCCTAGCATCTAGAACAGTGATTTTGTGCCATGCCCCACTGTGGTAATTCTAAAATTTTGCTGCTCCCCTATAATATTTAATTGTTACATAGTCAAAATTTTACTGCAATTCACGTGAAGGAAGCAAACTGAATGCTCACACGCGCTAATTGGCCAACAAATCATGGGCTCTTCCAGCAACATGCATCACGCCCTCTCCTTTGCTTACATAGACACGCGAGTGTGAGGAGACGGGAAATACCCTGTATGCTAATTACGCATATACGTACATACACAGAAAAATATTTTATGTATGCATACTGTATATGCATCGTATGTATAAACACGCATTACCATTAACACTCTTACTCAGAGTCCGCCCTGTCGGCTGGGGCTGTAGAATACGCCGACTGAATACGCCGACTGCACTTCTGCAGAGGGGTAAGAAATGGGGTGTCCTGCGTATGCTGATAAACTATATCCGCGTCTAGGGTAAGGCGATAAACTACGTCCAACAGCAAGGCCTCTGATAAGGAGGTTTTGAGTGGTGGAAGCACCTGTTATTGTCCCAGCTATGGGCAAATAGTTAACCCCGATACTGAGGTGAAAAGTATAATAAAAATGTAAAAATATGTTTTAATACCAGAAATTCTCTGTAAAAAAATTATTATCAGCAAGACATTTTTGAAGAAAAAAAATCTATTACCAGCCATATATTTTATAAAAAAATATTACCAACAATACTTTTTTTGAAAAAAAAAACAATACATATGATTGTACTCAAAAATATAAGTAATTGAAAAATGGTTCAAATATATATATGTATATATATACACACCTTTTTTTTTTAACAAACTATCACAATGAATCAATTTAAAAAAAAATTGTTGGCATAAATTGACCCACTGAGGTTGATATGCCAAAAAACAAAATAACCAACCAACCAACTCACTCATAGTCACTTTAAAACAATTTACGGTTAATAACTCATTCTCGAATTACCCCCTTCTTCTGTTGGTATATTAAGCCGAAGGGTACACATCTTACGCATGCCCCACCGAAGTATTACCATGCCCCACAGGTGTGGATTGCGCCCCACGTCGGGAATCATTGATCTAGACTTTAATGCAGTTTAATACAGTTCGAAGCGATCATGTATCTTTTGATACCTGACTGACAAAGCAGATTTTTTCTTACAGCATGTTGCCATTTCTTTCTGCGTTAGACTAGATGACACCCAAGTGTATAGAACCCTGCCTGTCCTGCTATTTGCGCATAGCTGAGGGGAGAAGAGGGGGATTCATATCTTTTCCAAGGGCATTAGCACTTAAGTGAATGTACTCGATTCGACTGGAATTCGAACTATATATATATATATATATATATAGCTTTAAACAACACAGACGTCATACCTTAGGTGCCTTTTGGCCGACACTTTTTCAAAGGTATTCGTTGGTGATTAATAATACAAATGAAGTGGTGAAGGTTTTGTGCAGAACCAACCACACCTTTTGAAGGGCCAAATACAGAGACCTGGTGCACTACGTGCCACAAGGTCCTTAAACAACCCTCCGCAGGTTTTAAATTTAGAGTTGTCCTTCTCCTAGACCAGTTGCCATCCAAGGCTATAGAACCCAGTCTGTCCTGCTATTTACCCATAGCTGGGGTGGGAAAGAAGAGGATTGACTGTCCATTAGTTGTCCTACGGCCATTGTTTGCGATGGACGTTACTCCAAGGAAGCGTATGAGAATTTGTATCGCTGCATGAAGACACTGGCAAGACTTACTAGTGATCAAATCAAAGTACTAGACTGGCTCGGAAAACATCCTGATTTAAATCCAATCGAGAATCTGTAGTCAATCTGCAAGGAAAGACTTCGTGGAATGGACATACAAAGTACTAACATGTGCAATGGGTAATGTTTCATTGGGAAAATACGAAAAAAAATAAATGAGAACGAAATTACTGGTTTTGCTTTAATTAATTTGCACGAACGTTGTATTTGGAACGATTAATGTCTTTTTTGAAACTCAATAGTGTTAATAACAGCTGCAGATATGTAAATAATAGATTTGAGCGTCAGAATGGTTTTGAATAACTATTCACAAATTTAGAGACAATTCACAAGAGTTGACGCATCAAATCAACTGTAAAAATTAGAAATCTTTTCTCCTAAATTTTAGTGTTTATATCTATCATTTCATATAAAATCATTTTAGCGAATAATTGAATTTGTATTGGTTAATATACAGTATCTGTGATCATTAAAAAATAATGCAAATAAAATATATTGAAAATCTTGAAGGAATGATTATCAGTTGTCAACAATTAATCCAACCCCGACGTGCAGAATATGGCCCTATAAAAAATATAAGAATTAATATAGAAATGCCATGAAGAAGTGGTTTTCATTCATCTTACTTATTATAAAACGCAGATTGTGTGTGTGTGTGTGTGTCTGTACGTTTATATATTGAATCGGATTTCCTACATTTTTCAACCGATTTCAACAAAACTTCACAGGACTGCATAAAATTACCTTGCGGTGGTTCAGACAGCACCAAAAAAAAAATGGAAAAACACAATTGTTTTTGCACGAAATCAATTTGAAAACACGATAAAACACGATTCTGTCACCAGAATGAATGGGGGACAACTCATATCGAGTTATACTTATTATAAAACCCAGGTTGTTTTTGTGTGTGTGTGTGTGTGTGTTCCTTTATATATGGGATCGGATTTCCTACATTTTTCAACCGATTTCAACAAAACTTCACTTTTTTTTGGCAGGTAGTGTTTCTTATTGTCTTGCACACTTTTTTCTTTATTTTTACATTCAGAATGCTTTAAAAATTCTATTTACAAGACAATTGTTCATAATAAAATTCTATTCAATCGGTAGACTCATAACGATGGAAAACAATGTTTTTGTTTGAGTTTGGGCTTGATTAATTTGAAAAAAAAAACAACAAAAAAAAAAACTAATTAAGACATGCGTGTCCGTCAACCATGAACAATAATCTTTGTCAATTTTATTTTTCAGTCTATATGATGGTCGATACTTGATCTATCTCTTACTATTACATCCCCGGGCAACGCCGGGCTCTACTGCTAGTTTTGAATAAATGCAAGACGGACTGACAGAATAATGTAAGAAAGCTTACGGCCATATCTCGTTGAAATATCGGTTCCCGTATAATTGCCGAAGTTAAGCAACGTCGAACCTGGTTAGTACCTCGATGGGTGACCGCTTAGGAATATCAAGGGCTGTAAGGTTGGATGTGCGGGTGGTGTAATTGATAATAACTTGGAATTGTTAATCGGAGAGCTATGTTCCAATTCCAGTCGGTTCTTTAAATTGACTTACGCACGTATACCCTTGGAAAAGTTATGAATCCAGCCCTTCTCTCCCAGCTATAGGTTAATTAGTAAAACTTTTATCACATAATCATTATTATCACCAAAATTAATTCTTAGAATCTAAAAATATATTCTGCCATTAAATAACCTGGTTGGTAAGCCGTAGAAAAAGAATCAATGAAACCAGTTAATGTAAAACTTATTATAGAAAGTCACTGAACATCAGCAAGAAGGGATTTTCCTTGATCATGAATTAATGATTGCGTTAATAAATCTATTATGTATATTTGTCCATAATTTCTTTATATATTATACCAGATAACGTTGAAGACGAACGCTTTCTTCATTTTAAAAGTATGACGTTATGAACATGCTTTTTTTAATACCCGTTTTCTTTGCGCATAATTTTCCGCAAACAGCATGTTGTTTAAAATAGCTAATCAAAATGCTCCTCACGGGAATGCAATTTCCCGCTAAAACTAGGAATTCATTCGAATTTATGGGCTTCTTCTATTATTTTGTTTTCCGCTGTTTCTGTTTCTGTAAATATTACATTATTTTTAGTCTTTTTATATATAAAAGACTTATCAGGCAAAATACATATATGAGTTGTAATTAGAATAAATTATGGAAACGGAAAAATGAAAAAAAAAAAAAACTCAAGTAACTGGAGAGGAATAATAGTAAACATCGAAGAAATCGTCTTTTGATTGGTTGGTCTCTGCAAGGATGTATGTATTCATGACGTTATTTGAATTTAACATGATTATATTGTTTACTCAGACACCATATATATATATATATATATATATATATATATTTGTGCATTTAGGTAGTAATCCTTCTTTTATGCACATTTCATTGAAGACGCCAGAAAAGATCTTTGATTTAGTCTTTTATAAAATTTCTCATATGATCTTATAGTGTTTTTTTCTTTTCAGATGGTAAATTATATAAAAACTACCGAAATGTTCTTCTTATCCGAGAGCTTTCGGCTATACAAATTATATATATATATATATATATATACACACACACATATATATATATATATATATATATATATATATATACATATATATATATATATATATATAAATTAAATAGGGCAAATATTATTTCCAATTTCAATGGCCATTAAGGTAATTGTATTACTGATCAATCAAAATTCGTAAATAATTATATAGGCCACACTACATGTTTGACACGCACATTCCCTCTACACCTTTCTGACCATAGCTCAATTAGATCTCATTTAAATAGTCATGGAGACATATCGGACACTATTCGTAATATAATTGTTGAAAAGACAAATATAATAGCATTATCTACATGCAAAAAAAGGCTAAAAATAATGGTAGCCTTAATAATAAAAAGCCAAAAAACAAAACTTAATATCAAACATGAAAATGGACACAATTCTTCTGCGTGGTTTGAAAAAGGAAAATATTTTATAAATGCATACATGCAACAAACTGGATCTTATTTAACAATTAAAATATTTAATCCTTGAAAATGGATAAATATATAGATGAAAGCGTTCGGATAAAGGGACATTTGGATAGTTTTTATAGAATTTATCATCTGAAAAGAAAAATAATTATAAATCTCATGAGAAATTGCGTAATATACTAAATGAAACACCTTGTCTGATAAAATATATATATATATATATATATATATATATATATATATATATTTTATCGGATACGATAGACAATGTGCTTTCATTTAGTACACAATTCTCATGATATCTATTAATTTTTTTTTTTTTTATTGATAATATTAGTGGTCAATATATATATATATATATATATATATATATATATATATATATATATATATATATATATATATATATAATTGTTAGTAATGCAAAGCAAACGAAAAATTTTCACATACGCACCGGCAGTATGAATTGGCTGGATTTTAAGTCTAGATCCCATCGTTTTTTTATTGTGCGTAGTGTAAGCACAAACGTATACACACGTTTCAGGGGTCTGTTTTTTAATTTTAATTTTAGATCAGCGAATCGGTAGTGGTTTATGCATCTGAAAATAATTCCTATTTATCTGTATCTCACTGATTTAAACCGCCAACTCTTTTCTTTAAAACTCCTCTCTGTTAAATTTTAATCCCCACCTTCACCTTTAGGTCTTCCTGTTCTTCTTTCTTCTGTTACACCCTCTCTCTAGAGCTTTCATACATTTCCCTCTCACACTTGTTCCCCACCCTCACATATACACTCTCACTAAAATTTTGTTTTTTATACCCGGAGTTATATTTTCCGATTTCTTTTTGAATTAGTATGTCTGACGATTTGGACCGTGATTACGATTCCAATGTAATAAATTTTAACCATTAATGTTTGAGCCTTTTATATATATATATATATATATATATATATATATATATATATATATATATATATATATATATATATATATATATATATATATATATATATATATATATAAAAGTTACGATATATATATGTTACGAAGAACTTGGTAATATATATATATATATATAGTTATAATTTATAATAAATATATTTAATATTTTATATTATTAGAGTCTTTTTCGATTATATACCCGTACTGTAATGGTGTGATAGATACCGGTTCGGACTGGAAAGTTGGAGAGTAGAGTTCGAATGCCAGTCGGATCTATTACATTCACTTATGTGCTAATACCTTTGGTAAGCTATGAATCCTTTTCTTCTCTGCCCAACCCACAGCAGGACAGACCGTGTTCTATAGCTTCTCACCCGTCGAACGAAATATATGACTAGTGTGGGACTGGATCGTATATTCGAATACCTGTGTCGTTGCGTACATGCGTACGCTGTATTCAATGTTTAGTTGTCAACACGCAGACCGTTCGTCTATTTTGTTCGTGGAATGATGTTTTTTCGCACACGCATATATACGTATTCACGCGCGTTCACACATCTTCTATCCGTTATTTTTCTTTTAAGATATGAGTCTTTGGTAGGTAAAATTGTCTCACACTGTTCATATAATTTTATGTTTGTGTGAGGTGCGTGCGTGTAAGTAGGTTTGCGTACGTATGTTGTGTTCCAACCACAAAAACACCAAATATACGTAACCATATATAAATCTAAAATTAAAAAATTAATCAGTTTGTCTGACTATCGCAAATACCGTGAAATCCAGGGTCACAAACTCTCATCAATTCAACTATATATATATATATATATGTTTATATATATATATATATATATATATGAAGAAATATAGTTTTAAGGTGTGCTATATTTATGGGATAAATTGCTCAATATCAGAGATAGAGCGTATTTAAATATAAATATAAAAGTGAACATAGAAGTCAACACTCAGAGCTGAAAGGCTGTTTAATGCTGGACGCAATGGTCAGGCCGCCTGACGATTGCGTACAGCATGAAACAGACTGCCGCCTCTGAGTGTTGACTTCTATGTTCACTTGTATACATACATACATATATATATATATATATATATATATATATATATATATATATATATATATATATATAAACAGTAATATATATATATATATATATATATATAAATAAATAAATAAAAAGAACAGAAATATATATATATATATATATATATATATATATATACTTACGCGTGCATATATATATAGTCACCCTTTGAAGTTAGTCCATCTAAGAGGAAAATTCTGAATTTAGAGTCTACTTTTTCGTGAACTGACTCTCACTCACGGTTATAGAGACGAATAATATTTAACCCTTGCTTGCTGGAGAGAATGGATGAATTCTTGACTTTGTAAAGGGCATTTGGGGGAGAAAAAAACAGTCTAGGTCGGAATTTTAACTTGGCTCGCCGATAATATACGAAATATTACATATTGGTTAATATGCCGCAAAGCAAAACAAACCAAACCAAGCATGAATGTAATATAATTTTAATATATTCCATGTTAACACAATATTCCAGGAACGAGAATCAAATATTCTTTTATTCTTTTCTATGTTAATATCGGATTCTTCACATTCTATATCCTACATCAGATTTCCATACATAAATGTTGAAAACATTTTTACTGATTTGAATTTAACATGACTTTTCTCGTTTTTTGTTACTTCACTGAGATCTTTGCTTCAAAATTGTTTTCCATTCTCCTATACATCTCTTTTAAGAATAACCCCAAAGTTTTGCATTCATAGCAGAAGAAGCTGCAATACTTTCCTTTCATTTGATGTTTTTGAATTCTTTCTTTGCAATGGCACAGATAGTCTTGTGCGTCATTCAGTCTTGCAGAATAGAAAAAAAAACATTGTCTGACATGCGCATACGCTTACCTTTACAAGTCCTGTTCAAGAATTTCAAGTTTTACGACTATATCACGTTTAACGCCATGATCTCGTACGGTCACCGAAGTTAAGCAACTGGTATTCTCAAGTGGGTGACCACTTGGGAATACCAGGTGCTGTAAGCTTGGATGTGCTGGTGGTGTAATAGATAACGTTTCGGAATTGTAAATAGGTGAACCAAGTTCTAAATCTACTCGAGTTGGTTATATTTCCTTACGCACAAATACCCTTGGGAAAGGCATGAATCCAACTCTCTTCTCGGCTATGGGTTAATTACTAGAAGTTTTGTCAGTTGACGATTACTATCTCAAAAAAAATAAAATAAATAAAATAAAATAAAATAAAATAAAATAAAATAAATAAATATATAAAATAAAAATACTTACAATGTTAAAATATTTTCTAGTTTCAAATAAGTCGAAAGGGTGGATAAGATGCAAAATATCAGTGAATCATGAATTTAAAACGCATGCTGTCATCAAATCAGGAAGGACTTATAATTTCACTGTCTCCAATACTAGACCAAAATATAGCTACACTTTCTAAATTTGTTTTCTAAATACTGTTA